GGAGGAGAAAGAGGAAGAAATGGAGGAGGAAGAGAAGGAAAAGCCTACTGGTACACAGCTATAATCCCTGGGGAGGGGGAACTGGAGAATTCCAGGGGCTTACAAACCAGCTATTCTATTAAATCATCAAGCACCATGTTTGATGAGAGACCCTGGCTCAAAAAGTAAGATGGGAAATGATTGAGGAATACATTGGATGTCAAATTGTGTTTTCCCCTGATTGAATGAATGAATGAATGAATATGATAGTATTTTGGGAAGTGGTGAAAGGAAGTAGATGGGGCCTTGTTAGAGATGTGGGTCACTGGGGGCATGTCCTTGGGGCTATCTCTTGTCCTGACCACTTCCTATGTCATTTCCTTCTCTCTGCTTCTTGGCCTCCATACCGTGAATATCTCTCCTCAGTCCATACACAGCCACTGCTATGATTTTCTGACCAAGTGCATGGAGGCAAATTAACACAGATAGAACTCTTCGAATTCATGAGCCAAAATAAAACCTTCCTTCTTTTAAAAGCTGGTTATGGGCCAATGAACTGGCACAGTGGTGCCTGCTGCCCAGCCTAACAACCTGAGTTGGATCTCTGGGACATACATGGTGGAATGGAAGAGCTGGCTCCCATAAATTGACCCCTGGCCCACAAGTGTTGGCCACGCCATTCTTGAGCGCGTGCACACACACTAAATAAATACATTAAAATGTATTTTAAAATTGTGTCAGGCATCATCACAGCTATGCAAAAGTAGGTATTACAATGTCCTCTGCTAAAGTGACCCCAAGATCTTCCTGGTGACCTTGGCATTTCTGTGACTCACACATACTGCTGGAAGTGACCATTTTCCTTGGTAAGGAGCTGTGGTGGTTTCGATGAGAATGGCCCCCATAAGCTCATATGTTTGAATACCTGTTCTTCAGTTAGTGGTTGTTTGGGGAGGATTAGGAGGTTTGCTGAAGGAAACCAGAGGCTGGTTTTGAGGTTTCAAAAGACTTGTACCATTTTGAGTTCCTTCCCTCTCTGCCTCCTACTTGCAGATGAAAATGTGAGCTCTCAGCTGATCCTACCACCACACACACCTTTGCTCGGCCATCACGGACTCTGACCCTCGGAAACTGCAAGCCCAATCCAATGCTTCCTTTTATAAGTTGCCTTGGTCGTGGTGTTTTGCCACAGCAGTAGAAAAGCAACTAAAACAGCAGCCAATAGCTTTAAGTGACAAGTGTCATTCTGATAGCTTTCCAGAGTGAAGGACTACCCAAGTTCCTGCTCCTCCTGCTCTTTTTTCCTTGGTTTCTCGGAAAAAAAATACTGAACCCTGAAAGGATTTTCCATTTGGGGGAGGGTGTTTTTTGAGATAGGGTCTCATGTAGCTTAGGCTGGCCTCAGATTTGCTTCAGAGCTAAAGATAAGCTTAGACTCTGATTATCGAGCTTCTGACCCAAGCACTGAGATTACAGGTGTATGCCACCATGCTGGCTTGTCATTGGTGTCTTAGTCAGTGTTCTCTTGCTGTGAAGAGACACCATGACTAAGGCAAGTCTTACAAAATAAAGCATTCATTGAGGGTTTACTGAACATTCCAAAGGTTTAGTCCATTTTCATCATAGCTGGAAGCATGGTGGCAGACAGGCAGAAATGATGCTGGAGAAGTAGCTGAGAGCTACATTCTGATCCACTGGCGGAAAGGGAGACTCTGAGCTTGGTATGAGCTTTAGATACCTCAAAGCCCACCCCCAGTGACACACCTCCTCCAACAGGGCCACACCTCCTAATCCTTCTCAAGTAGTGCCGCTCCCTGATGCTAAGCACTCAAATTATATGAGCCTATGGGGCCACTCTTATTCTAAGTCTCACTCTCCAGTACAAGCTTGCCTGAAACCCCCCATGTAGCCCAGGCTGACCTCAAGCTCACAGCACTCCTCCTGTCTCTGCCTCCCAAGTTCTAGGACTACAGCTGTAAGCTACCCCACCTAATGCCCTGCCAGAAAAATGTTTGACATCTATTGCTTACACTTGAGTTAGATGTTGTTTTTGAAGATCAACCTCCTCTTGCGCTCTTTTCTTTTTTTTTTATTCTATCTAATATTGCTTTCTACCTATCTGTCCATCATCTGCCTCCTCATCTGTCTCCATCTCACTGCATCTGCTGAGCCCTCTGGTTGAGGAACAGTGACTCTGTGGCTCAAAAATCTAACAGGGCAGACTCTGAATGAACCATATTAGGGAGGCAAAATACTCATATGCATAAAATAAGTACTTTCTGAATTACTTCGGAAATGCAGCTTTTCCTTTCTCTTGCATTGTTTTCTTAAAATAAATTTTCCACAAGTGGGATGCTATGGGTAAGGGTGGTGAACACATTAAATGGCTTTGCTCTAGAATGCCAAGCAGCTCCTCAACAGGTCTGTACACACTGACAACCCGTCACCCAGATGAACTAGTTTCACTACACTCTTTCTCGTATTAGATGCTGCACATTATTCAACCTATTTTTTCTGCATTCAGCAGCTACAGTTGTGTCAATTTTCTCTATTTTTAGAGTAGAAAATACAGATAAGATAGTGTATAAAAGTTGGCCCACCTGAAACTATGAATCAAGAGATGAGCCAGCTGGGGTCAGGGAAGGAAGCAGAGGGACAGCTGTGCCTGTTCATGCCCAGAGTGTGAAAGGACAAAGAGACTGGTTCTGTTAGAAGAGTCCAGAGAGGAAGTGCAGCACCAGCCTGGGTTCAAATCCAAGGGGCTTCACAGATGAAATTATATCATTATTATTATTATTGTTGTTGTTGTTGTTGTTGTTGTTGTTTTCTCGAGACAGGATTTCTCTGTGTAGCTTTGGAGCCTATCCTGGACCTCGCTCTGTAGACCAGGCTGGCCTCAAACTGACAGAGATCTACCTGCCTCTGCCTCCCGAGTGCTGGGATTAAAGTCGTGTGCCACCACTGCCCGGCTATATTATTATTATTATTATATCATTATTATTTAGTGTTTTCCTGTGTTGCATGAAAAAGAGAATACACACACACACACACACACACACACACACACACACACACGGACTAAAGAGTTGGCTCAGCTGCTAGGAGTACAAATTACACACAGAAGACCTGAGTCCCATTCCAGCACCCACATCAGGTGGCCCACAACCACACATAACTCCAGCACCAGGGGACCTCTTCTGGCCTCCGAGGGCACCAGCACACACAGACACAAAATTAAAAAGAAAATAAAATTTAAACACATGTGCACATACACAAACACATAATTAAATATAAAAATTTTAAAATACGTGTACACATTCAAAAGCACATAATTTTAAATATATGTGTGTGTGTATACGGAGGAAATGAGGGGTAGGGAACTTGTTGACGAGTTAGCCCTACTGTGCTCCGGTACCTTCGTTGTTTTTGTTTTGTTTTGTTCTGTCTTTTTAAAGCAGTAATGACACTACTCTCCCATCCTCTTCACGTAGCTCCGTCAGGTGTGCACTGGCACCAACGGCAGGGAGTCCCCAAGAGCCTGAGGGGCGATCCCTTCCCGCCACGGAACCAAGGAGATGCGGAGACCTCCACACTCCTAGAGAGGAAGCTTAGGCTCCGGAGGAGGATTTCCGCCCGCAGCTCACTTCCGGCCCCGCCCTACCCGCGCTGCTGCTGTACGTTCGGTGGCGCTAATCCTCGTAGTTTCCTAACCCTTTGCTCGGCTCTCTTGCTTGGGACTGTGGGTCGCGCCTTCTGTGCGCAATCTGCACCCTGCGGGATTAGAGTACGGCAAGGGAGCGCCATACCAGGCTCCCTTTCCCACGCGATTGTCTTCCCGGTACCCCAAGAAGTGTCCCTCTTCCCTTTCCGTAACCGCTCACATCCAGATGAATGATAGAAAACAATGGTACACTCAAATTTAAAAGGATGTGGCTTGGGGCTTGTGTTTTTTGTGAATCTGAGACAAAGACTGGCTTGTCCATAAATAAATAAATAATAAATAAGTGTCAAGTAACTAACAATGTACTTTAGTTGTGACTGGATATGAGAGATGACTAATTAGGAGCCTGGAAGAACTGTGCAGACAATGCAATCTCAAAGGACTGAAGGCAATGAGTGAGAGCCACAAGGCCCTAGCCCTGGGAGAGGAGAGTGACCCTGTCAAATCCAAGGTCTCGCCAAGGAGGAATGCAACTGTCATCAGGTTGGGTTACTCAGCTAGACTACTTGCCTTGGTTCTATGTTTCCCACAAGCAGCTGCTTACCACAGGTGCTACCTCCCTACCTAACCTTTTGGGAACTCGAGTGTCTATAATTTGAAATGAGATGATCTGCTATCATGCCCCACTGTGCGTGACTGTATGCTTTATGTAAAGAAGCTTTGCTACAGTGTGGTCCTGAGAAGGAAATGAGAGATGGACAAGGAAGTTGGACTAGAGTCTCCACACAACAATATGAAAACATTCCTGGAAAACCTGAAGTAATTAGAACTCAGCTTTGTTTAGTCTGCTGTTCCCCAATCTTTTTTACCAAAAACCTTTGAGTAATAATACCTTATTAATATGACTCCAGGTTCTGTTTATTTTTTCCAGAAACATATCTTGGAAGATGTTGGTATATAGGAATCAGTCCCATGAGCATGCCCTGTGCAGAAGGCATCCTCCTTTCCCAAAAGGCATTTCACATCCACTTTCTGAAAATTGTATGAAAGGTTTCAGTAAAGATAGCTCCAGTTTTAGAAACATTCAGGAGAAAGTACCACAAGCTATAAAACATTTAGAAAGGGAAATGAGGGCCTGAAGAGATGGCTCAGTGCTTAAAAGTGCTTGCTGCTTTGTAGAGGACCTCAGTTCAGTTCCCTGCACATGGTGGTTCACAATCACAAACATCTATAACTCCAGTTTCAGGGAATCTGATGCTCTGAAAAGGGCCTCTTCAGGCACTGCATACACATGGGTCATATACAAACATGGCCACATACACTCATTCACATAAATCGACAGAAAAGGGAGTGAACAAAGTATCTTTGCTCTTCGTCCTCTTTGTCATTCCTCCTAAGTACATCACAGGCAGTAAATATCCAATATCATTGAGAAATATATAATTATTTGCAGAAAGAATGGAAATAATCACTTGGAGGGGAGCAGGGAATGTGAGCCTGACCAAATGGAAATGTTGGGTTGGTAAATGAATCAACAAAGAATTGTACTGGAAAATAAAATCCTAGAATAAAACCCACTGTCTCCAAGGATACAAGAAAAAAGAAAATGAGTCAGGGGTGGTATCACATGCTTCTCATCCTAGCACTCAAGAGGCAGAAGCAGGTGGATCTCTGTGAGTTTGAGACCACCTAGGGCTCCATAAGAATCTCCTATTTCAGAGAGAGAGGGTGGGGGATAAAGCCAGTCACAAGCTATAGAGCAGCCCTGAGAAAGTAAAGTCAGAGAGATGAAAATATCTGGTCCAGCCCAGTTAGGGCTACATTCATCTGAAGGCTTTGATGGAACTGGAGAATCCACTTCCAAGGCAGTGCTATCTCATGACTGTTGGCAGGAGACATCAGTTTCCGACCACATGGTCCTCTTCATCAGAGCGCTTACACATCCTCACATAGCTGACTCCCCTGGAGTAGGTGAGTAAGGGAGGGAAATAGAAGCTGTAATATCTTTTGTAACCCAGCCTCAGAAGCCATACCTCACTACCTCCATAGCCTAATGAGGAGGCATGAACATGGGATTCAGGGGTCACTGGGAGCTGTCATGGAGGTTGGTTATGTTAAAATCGTATGTCAACTTGTAAGTTTTAAAAATGTATCTATTCTTAAAGAATGGTATGCATGAGACAATGTATTTTGATTCTATCCATCCCTCGCTACCCACTCCTACACCTCCCAGACCTATTCCCATCTCAACTTCATCTCCTCTTTAACTGACTGAGTACAGTTTGTGCTGCCCATATACACATGGATGTAGGGCTATAGATGTATGGCAACTTTGTTGCCAAACGTACTACTCATGGCACAAGTGGCCTCTAACTAATCAACTGCATCTCACTAACTCAGTGGATAAAGGCACTTGCCATTAAGCCTGACAATCTCAGTTCAGGTCCAGGAACCCGTGTAATAGGAGCAAACAAATTCTCACAGACTACCCTCTGACTACTTACATGCTATGGCATGTGTGCATGCATGTGCATACATATATGCTACATGCACACAAATAAATATCACCCAAAAAAGCCACAGGTTTGACCATCTTGATAGGGGTCACTCTTGTAAGCATATGATCTGTGGAAGCCATGCCTATATGGTGATTACCAGAAAAAAAATATGAATGCCTTTAATTCCAGTATTTGGGAGGTGAAGGCAGGCAGATCTCCGTGAATTTAAGGCCAGCCAGTGAGATCTTGCCTCAAAAAAGAAAAAGAAAGTGAGGGGTGGAAATGAGACATTTAAGCTAGGCTGATTTCCAAATATGCCCAATAGGGATCTCATTGTATCTGAGCCATCACCTGAGGAAAAGACAGCTTGATAGACAGACTGCTGCTGCAAGGGCTCCCTTAGAAAGGGATGCCCAAATCTGCCCTGACACCAGTTTCATGTTCTAACATCTTTCCGGGGCGATGGGTCAAATCTGTGGCTTCTGGAGGTGATGTCTAGCATCTGTAAATAGAAGAATATCCTCTGCTGGGCAGCAGAACTCAGTGTCCGGATAACCAAGGAGTGACGAGGTGTATGGGACAGACCCACCCTTTGTGACAAAGTTAGGTCATAAGTAAAACTACTGGAAAGTATGAGATTTTAATGCAAGGAAGAATCTGCATGAGGCATGTGGTACATGTGGTGGAAAGTCCCAAGACAAGCCAGTCAATGATTTTCATGGAGGAGTCAGTATATAGTCATCTGTGTGGCTATGGTGTGTTACAGTGAAAAGGCACAAAGCAAAATTAACAGTGGGAAAATTCACGAAGGGCCATCTAGAAGCCAGGGGGTACAAACTTCCAAGAGCCCTTACCCAGTGGAATCAGGCAGGATGCAGTTCACCCTTCAGGAAATGGGTCATAACAAGTGTGAAATGTCAATCTGAAAGTCTTTCAGCATCTCAGGGCTCAGACTCACGGGGGGATGATCATAAAGGCACTATCCACAAAGCATGAACCAAGACTGCAGACTCCCAAAAGGAAAGTAAGTGTTCAACATTGCACTAATAGTCTACACAACAGTGAAATGCTTATTGGAGGCTCAAGGAACTCTCCTAAAATCCAAGGCTCTAAAGTGCAGCCTACCTCCCCATGCTTAGTAGGAATAGTTGACGCTGAACAGAAGCAGCTCAGCAAAGGCCTAAGAGAAATGATGCCTGGGACCAGTCTTAAAAACCAGAACTAGCTGGATGTGGTGGCACACACTGATAACCCCACCACTCAGGAGGAAGAAATTGGACAGCCAGAAGTTCAAGCTCAGACTTGGCTACATAGTAAATTCAAGACCACCTTGGTGTACATGAGATCCTGTCAGCAAGAAAGGAGAAGTGGGGGAGAGAAAGAGGCAAAGAGAGACAAAAAGATGAGACAGAGGCTTCCAGCAGAGGGAGCCTTAACAGCGAAGTTGGTGAGGTGGAGGCAACCCTGCCGAAGCATGGGCAGTTTGGGAGTGACTGGAAAGTAGATATAGATGAAACAAAGTGAGAGAGCCCAATTTTATGACGTTTTACTGTCTGTCTACCACTTGTTATTTGGTCTGTTCCTTTGTCTTACTACGTGTTTAACTTACTCATTTGGGACTCAAAATATGGTTATTGTAGATCCTTCTCCAGACTGTACATAACAATACGTCAAAATGATTTCCCTCCAGCTATCTTGACTTTCATTCACCTAGTCAAGTGGGTACACAAGTTAGTCATCATCACAGTACCACTTTCATTGTGCCACTTTCGGGAACTCTTGTCAAGGCATGGAAGGTATTATTGTGTAGAACCCCCTGCCGCATAGAGAGCTAAGCAAAGACCAACATGTTCCGGTAGGATTGGGTTCTGTCCTTTTGCGGCCTCAGCACTGCAGGCTCCGTGAGTGCCAGAGAGTAGGAGAGACATTGTCACCTTAAGGAAGGTGAAGATCGGCGTCCTTCCAGGGAATGGCTGCGGTCTCCCAGGTTCACTCTGAGCCGGAGATAGACTGGAGATGGAAGCTACTGAGTGTCTGAGAAAGACAATCTCCGAGTCAAGGCCGACACCTTCACTCCTCCTGTCACCATGGTGGTGGAGATGGGTGGGAGAAAACCACAGGCTGCATAGAGGAGGATCATAATCAGGCTTGAGTGTTCAGCTTGAAAGTCAAGAGCAGCCACTGGCAATCTGAGGTGAGAACACTTTTCTGTGTAAGGGGGAAAAAGTGAGACAGAGAGTGAAAAACTGAGCCCACAGGAGGGCCAAAGCTCCATCATGGGAGTAGTCCTCTGATGATGACAGCCATCAAGAGAAGCACAATAGTTGACAAGAGAAGAATCAGACACTGTAGATTGTAGACAGGGTCTGACATTCATTGCAGTGTGACATTGGTGAGGCCACTAACCTGCTCCAAGTCTTGGGATCGTCATCAGTAAAATGAGGGATGTGGTCTGAGCAAGCTCCAAGTTCCTATCCAGCTCCTGTTGCTTCAGAGAATATAGAACCCACCGACTTGCAGAGCATCAGCAGCAATGACATGCCTAGAAGTTTAGGTTAGCCCTAGAGCAAAGAGCATGAGTTAGACCTGGTGCAGATCCTCTCTGCACTTCCTAGTGGGGTGGCCATAGGCACAGTACTTCTCTGTAACTGTCTTTCTTTAAAATTGAAAGGGGGGGTTGCACGAATCTTAAAAGTTCTTATTAATAAAATCAAACCTGGAGCTGGGTATTGGGGTCAATGCTGAAAGATCAGAGAAGCAGAGCAAGCCACAGCTACCTCATCTCGCCCGTTCCTCAGCTGATCCTGTTTCCTCAGACTGGAAGCCTCTGAGTCCTCATCCAAATGGATCTCAGCTGAACTGCTGCTAAAAGCCTAAAAGCTTAACCAGCTCTAGTTCCTGGTTTCCACGCTTTATATACCTTTCTGCTTTCTGCCATCACTTCCTCTGATTAAAGGCTCTCTTCCTGGGATTAAAGGCATGAGTCACCATGCCTGGCTATTTACTCACAGAGATCCAGATGGATCTCTGACTCTGGAATGCTAGGATTAAAGGTGTGAGTGCCACCATTTTCTGGTCTCTATGTCTGTCTAGTGGCTGTTCTGTTCTCTGACCCCAGACAAGTTTATTAGGGTTCACAATATATTGGGGAACACATTATCACCACAAGTGGGGGCTAGGAAGATGGGTCCAGGAGTCAAGTGCTTACTATGTAAGCAGAAGGAATTGAGTCCTAGCTCCCATGTAAAAAGGTGGGTGCAGGGGCTGAAGAGATGGCTCAGTGGTCCAGAGCACTTGCTGTTGCCGAGAACCAGGGTTCAGTCCCCAGCACCCACATGATGTTCACAACCATCCGTAACTCTAATTCCAGGAAATCCAATTTCTCCTTCTGACTTTCAAGGGTACCACACATGTGGTATACATACACTTATGCAGGCAAAATACTCATACACTGATACACAAAACTAAAATAAATCCTTTTTGTTTTGTTTGTTGTTGTTTGAGACAGGGTCTCACTATGCACCTCTGGCTGTCCTGGATGGAACTCACTATGTAGACCAGGCTGTCCTTGAACTCACAAAGATCTGCCTTCCTCTCCCTCCTAAATGCTAGGATGAAAGGCATGTGCCACCATGCTGAGTAATAAATATAAAAAATAAAAATAACTAACTTTTTTTTTTTTTGGTTTTTCGAGACAGGGTTTCTCTGTGTAGCTTTGCGCCTTTCCTGGTACTCGCTTTGGAGACCAGGCTGGCCTCGAACTCACAGAGATCCGCCTGCCTCTGCCTCCCGAGTGCTGGGATTAAAGGCGTGCGCCACCACCGCCCGGCCATAACTAACTTTTTAAGAAGCCAGACACAGTGTCATGCTTTGGGGCAGGGTCAGCAGACAGACAGATCTTTGTGGCCATCTGGCCAGCCAGTCTAGCCATAAGGGCAAGTTCCAGGGTCCTAGTGAGAGACCTTGTGTCAAAAGCCAAGGTGAACTCTTCCTGAGGAATTACACCCAAAGTTGTCTTCACACACATTTTCAAACACCTACACACACACACACACACACACACACACACACACACACACCCCACTAAATAAGTCAATGATAAAGTTGGAGAATAACAGCATTTTCTTTGCAGACTTTGTGAGGAAGAGTGAAACACTCTGTAGAACTCTCTCCCACAGAGACTTCAGCAACAATAGGTGCTTAATGAATTCAGACTGCTCAGATTTCACGTCCAGTCTTCCCTCCAAAAACACTTCAAGCTCCAGCTGCCAGCTCAGGCCCCCCTGCCAGCAGCCTCCCCAGACCTAATCAGTACTGGACACCAAGACACAGCTAACAAATGGTGCAATCAGGGGGAGACCTGATGCCATACACAGGCCACTGCTCAGAGCAGCCAGACTCCCAGGCTCCAGACCCGCTTAGGGAACAGCATGTAGAAAGACATACTAATGAGGGTCAGAGAGAAAGGATCTTTCTCTGAGGAAGCCAGAAGGCTGGCTGGAAGCCCCTGGCACAGTTTGCCTGAGCAGTGTTGAATTGAATCGAGGTAGGCACCTTGGCAAGATGGAAGAAAGAAGGCCACAGATGGGACAGCCAGGGAGGTCCAGTGACGAGAGCCGCAGAGTGAGAAGCCAGACACATTTCTTTAGGAAGCCATCGACTGGGATGGTAAGTAACTTTGATTCTTTAAACACAATTTATGTTTAACGCATATGTGCCTCATTCTGTTTGTGAAAATCTGTTGGCATGTATATTTTATTTTCTGAATGAATCTAATATTTCCACTTATATATGTAATATATATAATGTGTGTGTGTGTGTGTATATATATATATATATATATATATATATATATATATTGTGTAATGCAGGAATGCTAATGCTTGATGCGCTGACTCCCACCTTTGTTCAGTAATTTCAGTCAGTGTTTTTCAGCTTCTTTGCCCTCACTCTAACTGAGATGTGACGCTGGTCCTCAATTGAGAATTCATTAATTAGCAAAGGAAAAAAAGAGAAAGGTACACTATTTTTGTCAAATATAATTTTTTCCCTTTTTTTTTGCTGATTTCATAAAGCAGTAAGCAACAGCCTTCAGAATAATTTCTTAGTCACAGATCTTCGCAATGAAAATGTGTGACCCTAGTCAGAACGATGGAAATGCAAGAAGGAATGAAGAAGAGCAGGAAGGGCAAGTCCGAGTGTGACACCGAGTGTGGCCTCAAGCCAACTGTTAGGACACCTTGTAGAGTTGAATATAGAAGTGGGACCTGTGACAGCTGCAGAGATGAAGAAGGGAATAAAGAGTGATAAAGTGTCCTACAGTGTTTAGCAATACTGAGAAACTAGTGAATGTAATCTTCAATAGTAGACAGAAATAAGTAAATAAGTCAACATTCCTCTGATGGTGTGAATGAGAAACGCCCCCATAGGCTCCAGTATCGGAGCGCTTGGTCCCCAGCTGGTGGCACTGTTTGGTAGGTTTAGGAGGTACACCACCGAGGGTGGGCTTTGAGAGGTATACCCTGGTCCCGCTTCCATCATGATCTCTCTGCTTCCTGCTCAAGGTTGAAGATGTGAGCAGTTGGCTCCAGCCACCATGCTGGCCTGCCTGCTGCCATGTATCCCTGCCATGATGAGCTCTGACCCCTCTGGAACCATAAGCTGAAATAAAATCTTTCTTCTGTAAGTAGGTTTTGATCATGGTATCTTACTACAGCCACAGTAATATGTGACTTTATCACATATTTTATCACAGTCACAGGAAAGTAACTAATGCAATTACATATTGTTTAATTGTTGGGATAATGGTTAAAGGGAAAGAATGCATAACAAAAAAAAGAAGGAGAAAAAGAATAAAACAGTAGGAAATGTTGATCCAAAAGAAAGGAAGAAAATCTAGAATAAAGTAGGTGGTTGAAAAAGAAAATACATTAACTGTCAACTGTAAGTTTTTTTTTTAATTTTACTCTTTGGGGTCCCACCACCCAGCTCCCAAATAAGTACATGGAGACTTATTCTTACATATGAATGCCCAGCCTTAGCTTGGCTTGTTTCTAGCCAGCTTTTCTAACTTAAATTAATCCGTTTCTCTTCTTCTATGTTTTGTCTCTAGGTTTTTTTTTAAACCTTTCTTTATTCTATATGTCTTTCTTCCCTTTTTACTCCATGGCTGGCTGTGTGGCTAAGTGGCTGGTCCCTGGCATCTTCCTCTCCATCTTCTCTTCTTGCTCCTCCCTCTTCTTCCTCCTATTTATTCTCTCTGCCTGCCAGCCCTGCCTATCCCCCTTTCCTGCCTAGCTATTGGCCATTCAGCTCTTTATTAGGCCAATCAGGTGTTTTAAACGGGCAAAGTAACACAGCTTTACAGAGTTAAACAAACGCAACATATCTTTGCATATTTAAACAAATATTCCATGGCATAAATGAACATAACACATCTTAAACTAATATTCCACAACAGTCAACTTTTCAGAAACTAGAATCACCTGGAACCTGAGCCTTTGGGCATCTTGGCTGTGTTAACCAAAGTAGGAAGCTCCACCTACTTGGGTGGCACCTTTGCCTGGCTAGGAAGATGGGATACCAGACAGGGTGTGGAAGCTCTACGCACTATCCCCCATACTCTGTGTTCTGCATAGCTTCCACTTGACTGATTCTAAGTTGTCCCCTTTATAATAAATTAGTAACCGTCAATAAAGTGATTTACTGATTTGTCTAGCAAACTGCCAAACCTGAAGAGGGGTGTGGAGATCCTGAGATCTTGAGGCAGTTGCTCAGAAGTAGCAGTTGTCTGAGACTTGTGACTGGCATCTGAAGTGGGTGGCAGTCACTTTGGACTGGGTCCTTATGCCTATCGTATCTGATGTGAACTCAGTGGCATCAAAATTGGACTGAATTAAATGGTTTCCTAAGGGAGGAAAAATAACTCTCACTTCTGAGAACAGATGCAGCTGAGTGGGGTGGGTCAGGCATGTAATCCCAGCACTGGGGCAGAGGGGAGTCAGGGGCAAAAGGACCATGATTTTGAGAGACCAGCTTCGACTACATAGTGAGCTTCAAGGCAGCCAGGAATACATAGAGAGACACTGTCCCCAACACACACAGAAACACACACACACACACACACACACACACACACACACACACACACACATACACACACACACCATACGAGTACAGATGCAAAATTATAAATAAAATATTAGTGAATAAAACCAAGCAAACAGCTTTATTCCTGGCTTTATTCCAGGAATGCAATAGTAATTTAATGTTCTAAATTCAATCAAGCTGTGCTGAGGGTGTAGCTCAGCCTCAGAGTGCTTACTTGGGCACACTTGAGCCTGAAGTTTCAATCTCCAACACTGAAGAGAAATAATTACCCAAAATAATTCATCACACTGGTTGTCTTAGTTAGGGTTTCTATTGCTGTGAAGAGACACCATGACCATGGCAACTCCTGGAAATAAAACATTCAATTGGGGTGGCTTGCTTACAGTTTCAGAGGTTGAGTACATTGTCATCATGACAGGAAGCATGGCAGCATGCAGGCAGATGTGGTGCTGGAGCTGAGAGTGCTACATCTTACAGGCAACAGAAAGTCTACTGACTCACACTGAGGGAAACTTGAGCAAAAGAGACCTCAAAGCCTGCCCCCACAGTGACACACTTCCTCCAACAAGGCCACACCTACTTCAACAAGCCACATTCTAATAGTGCCACTTCCTTTGGGGGCCATTTTCTTTCAAACCACCACAACAGTAGAAAAATAAAATAAAAGTCATCTTGATGGATGCATAAAAACAATGGGGAACATGATTCTCAAGAGATAGCAAGCAGCTCTTCTCCCTCTCAGAGTTCTGCCCCTGAAGTGAGAATTCAGGAGAAAAGTGTTGTGAGGCTTACCTTATAGTCAAATAGCCTGCTACGCTTGTAAGGGCCCCTGGTTTCCAGAACCTTCTGGCTTTGCACTGTGACTCCTGTTGCTGGGTGTCTTTTCTGGACACCTCATTTGCAAGATAAAATATAAGAAGGCTGGCAAGCTGGCATCCGTTATAACATCAGGTGCCCTGGTAAGTCCTGGGGTGGGGGTTGGGGTTGGGGTGTGCAAGCATGAACCAAGGTTGCAGAAGACGGAATAGTTCAGTGAAGATCTCTGTGATGGTAACCAGCAGGACTGAGGTGTGAACACAGCCAGTCTGGCTCTAGGATTCATATCTCCTGACCATTCTGTCACTGCACACATATATGCAACCATAACGCTGAGCATTAAGTGTCAATGGACCTAAGTCACACACACTGCAAAAGCCCAAAGGGAAGGGATTCATCATCACTAGGGAAGGGCTGGTTCTGGGAGACTTTAAGAAAAGTAGCATTCGGGGCCTGGGGAGATGGCTCAGCAGTTAAGAGCACTTGCTGCTCTTGCAGAGGATCTAGGTTCGGTTCCTAGCAACCACATCAGGGGGCTCACACCCACCTGTAATTTCAGTTCCAGGGCATACGATGCCCTCTTCCAGCCTCCACTGGCACCTGCATGCGTGTGGTGCACATAAACACATGCAAACACACATAAATAGTAAGTATTTTAAAAGGAAGGAAGGAAGGAAGGAAGGAAAGAA